AAAAGTTACTTTTTAATATGGAAAATAAATTATTTTGGATTTCTAATATTTTTTTTACAGTAGTAGATGATACAAAGTTTTTATTTGTATAATTAATTTGCTTTAAACATAGTAAATAATAATTAATAAATTAAGTTTTCGATAGGTGCGGCGTATATACCGGGTTTACCCTATATATACCTACTTCAATTCAAGAATATTTTATGCTTAAAATAGAGCCAAGAATAAACATTCTCCGATTCAGAATAAATTATTTTTAAAACAAAGTGAATAATATTCTTAGCTTAAAATAAATTTTACTTCAATTAAAGAATAAGAGAGTGGGCACTCTTTCAAAACTAAATATACTCGTATTAACATTGTTTTTTCTTTAATGACGCTTTTCATCAACTTAATGAAAGGAAATTATTTGAATTCAAATACGATAATAATAATTATTATAATATATTATAATATATATCAAGAGACACGGTAGTGTCTCGCGCCAAGTGAACGCGAAGCGCGAGACCGCACGTGTATCTTTACGCGAGTCGATGAGTTCCGTGTACCCGAGATTATCGGATCTCACAATAAATGGCTGAATTTATCAACTTTTATATATCCGTAATTTAGTTTTAGTGTTTAAATTATATTATAAATATGTTTTTATTGTCTACGTACCCTACGAAGGAAGATATCTCGATGTGAAGATGAAATGTCAAAAATTTTAACATCGGAAATGTTGTCCTTTTCACGTTTTAAACGATAGACGGCGTTAAATTGTTTTCCTTTTCACGTTTTAAACGGCAGATGCTAGCATATTTTATTTTATATCGATTAGCTGTCAACGTAATCAATTAGCTGTCAACGTAATGACATTAGATAGATCAAAATCAGCGATGACAAAGGAGGATTTTTGTACCCTGCTAAAGCAGTCAATATCTTGAAAGCTCACGGAAAAAGTGTTCGAGAGTCGATTTTGGTTCTAGGCTGTGGTTTGAACTGTACTGTCGCCTCTCAAGCAATGCCGAAGAGAATAACGAACGCGAAAATCGCATGTCTAGACTTCTCGTTGCAAAAAAGCTGATCTGAAAAGAATTGCTAAAGCTACAGGTGTGCAATTTCTAATTTCGCTAATCAACATAGAAGGAGAGGAGAGTTTTCATGCCAGTTTTATATAAATTCTCACGGAATTATAATTAGTACCTAATATACAGTTCGATCGTTAAAGGCATTTTATTGGTTGTGTTTCTCACGGTCTTAGAAGATTTAATATTTAAATATTGTTTCTTTTTTATTTTAAGGCCAAAGGCACGCACAGTGAGCTCTATTATTATATTAGAGCTCTATTATTATATTTTATTATAATGTTTTTTTTTTAATATTTTATATACAGATTTATAAGAAATATTTAACATTACAAAAAATGCGTGATATCTCAACAAAATTACCTTTTTAAAAAAAAGGAAAAAAAGGCGCCAAGTGTGTTAGCCTCACAAAATAAAATAAAATCTTTTTAAATTGCGCCAATTATGAAAGGAATATATTTTCTTGACACATATATAACATACTTTATTTCAAAAAGTAAAAGTACAAAAAACTTGGCGCTGCTAGAGAGAGAGAGAGACCTTATTATTTTTTTTTATATCGCCCTTGACTCTTCATATTGTTTATTTTTATATAACGAGTCCTTATTTCTTTTTCTATTAATTTCTTATTATTTTTCATATTTGGAATTATTTAATAACCATCTTATTATTGTATATTTTGAGGTCTAGCAGCGCCAAGTTTTTTGTACTTTTACTTTTTGAAATAAAGTATGTTATATATGTGTCAAGAAAATATATTCCTTTCATAATTGGCGCAATTTAAAAAGATTTCATTTTATTTTGTGAGGCTAACACACTTGGCGCCTTTTTTTCCCTTTTTTTAAAAAGGTAATTTTGTTGAGATTCTTATATAAACGTTAATATTTTATTAGATTTAATCCATTGAATACTTAACATAGACTTATATTCTGTAACCGAACACTAGTAAACTTTCCTTTCTTATACACATACATGCTTACAGCATGTTGAAGCGTGAACGTGAAAAGCGAATGCGTTCGAAATCGGCCGTCTCTTACAACATGGTACAACATGGTTAGGTAGAACGAGCTAAATACTTCACTTAAGCCTGATCTACAATTGCGTAAACGTAGTTGTATGTGATGGTAGTTGTAAGAATCCTCCAATCAAAGTTGGATATTCTCCTCGTAATCAACTGTAATTTGTCAATTCTTACAATACAACTACGTTTATGCAATTGTAGATCGAGCTTTACCTTTGAAAGTTTCAATTACGTTTAGAGCATGTCCCATGAACACAGCATAGCATTTACAAAACTTTCTCCGTTCACTTTGTGTACTTACCTTGATTGATACTGGCATTTAGCGATGCCACCGAGCTTTTCATATACACACTTTTACTTACGAACGCGCACAAATGAACATAGTTGATATATAAGCCGAGCGCATTTTGAAATATATAATTCTTAATCCAAAAATGAACAGCTTTCATATAATGTAATTGAGCTTATTATTAGAATAATATAAGGATTTTAGAAACAAAAATACGATTTTAAAAATAAAATATACTTCGCACAAATTTATTTATTATTAATGCAAGTAAACATTTGTAATTAAAGAGAGTTTTTCATACTTAAAGAAAGCAAACAGCATTCAAGAATAAAAATACACGTGAATCAGGAATTAATTTCTTTCTGTAAATTACGTAAAAATATCCTGTTCCACAAATGCACAATTATGAATGATATGCATTGGGATACTTTGCATGTATTTAAGATTTATAGAGAGTGTTCCAAAATTCAACAAACATTCAGAGATTTTCGGGGGCACCAAAAGTATCATTTTTTGCTAAGGGCTTATGGTCGGAAGCATGACGTTTTATCACTACGGCGACGCGGACAGCGTTTGAAAAACATCGAATCTTGAAATATTAAAAAAAATACAATTTTTATAAAAAATTGTTTCAGACAAAAGTTGTAAGGTATAAAAAGTCTATTTAGAGACTTATGAAGATTTCATCCAAAAAAAACAATATTCTGTCGATAAGGAAAATTCCTCTTAGCATTTCTTCGCAAAAAATCTTAAATAAATCAGGCGCGTGTATTTATAATCGTATTCATCATAAAAATGAGGACACATATGAGCTACGATCAAAAATAAATTTCTTTATAGAAAATTGTATAATAATAATTCGAATAAAGAATATACAAGAAGTATCTTGTATATCCTTTTATTTCAAAAGGCTATTCGGGTAGCTATAGAATATAGCAGCACGCTCATTTATTTTACAAGAAGTTTGCCTACGTGCTATTTCAGCTACGCGTGCATGTCTGTTGCGCAAGACAGCCTAACACGAGCAGATTTTGGCAGATTACGTTTGTTATCAATGTAGTTGAAATGTTGCAATGTTGTTATGTGCGTAGCTATAATGTTCCATCAAAGACACTGGTTATCCTGTATTTGGTAGAATATATGCTTTATTATTGTGAAAAATATAATACTGTATATTTTCTTTTGTGTATGTTTGAAATCGTGGATTTTGTGGAACATTTTTGCAGTTATAAAGTGATTTTCCTAAGAAAATGCGTAGCATTTCCAAAATCCACGCATGTGTCATGACGTACTTCTCTCTGCTACGCAATCCTGTATTCGATTTCGCGTGATCGGTGACCGGTGACTAGTCAATCTCATCTTGTTTTTCGTGTTTGCATGTTTAGTATGTTGAAGTTTATTAGTGTCTTACAATTAGTAAGATTGAAAATAAAAAATATTATTCTTAAAGTATTGTTAAAAATGATCTAAATAAGAATAATATATTAAATTTACAAGAAGAGAGAGAGAGAGAGAGAGAGAGAGAGAGAGAGAGAGAGAGATATTATTAAGAGGATTGCAATTTTAAATCCAACCCGTCATGGTTATACGAAATTCCTCTATTTTGGAGAGTATCTTCTCGGGGTCATACATAAACGGAAAATCCTCTGACATTAATACGGAACCGCTAAACGGCAGAATATTTTTTTTTGGTGTTATTATATTTCATTTTGGATGATGCCTCCTTGAATTTTTTAAAATGAAACTCATTATCTTTATCGCATATTCTGATAATCTTTCTCGAAACTTTTTCAAAACGTTATTATCCGTTTCGAAGTTACTAAGATTTTTTCTGCTAATATGTCCACAACTGTAGCTATCGTAACTCTTATTATCGATTTCATCTTTATTGGCTATATTATTATATAGCCACCGATCTTGCCTAAGGCAATGTCAACTTGATCCCGAAGACACTCAAGGTCAAAATCAAAAGGTCAGTAAAAAGATCTTTTTATACCTTACAACTTTTGCCTCAAACAATTTTTTATAAAACTTATATTTTTGATATAATTCGATGTTCGATCTTTTTCAAACACTCTGCTGTAGCAATGAAACGACATGCTCTTTATCCTAGGTCCATTAAAAAAAAAAAAGATTTTTTGTGCACCCAACAATATATGAAAAAATATCAGTTGAATTTCCAAACATTCTATATATAAACACCTTGTTTTTTCGTCGTATATAATTTATATTCATATATATGATTTAGTTATTCACATTCGAAGGAGATGATCAATCATTAGGAAGTAATATTCAGACAGTACAAGAACGGTCGGTGTTATCGATAGATACTGTCACATCCATTTCTGCGTTTCTTATAGATGAACGTGTACAAGAAATTATACAAGATCTCAATTCAACAGACGAAACATTACAGTTTCAAGCACTTCAGATTTATAGGGATTTATTATTTAGACCAGAAATAAATTCTTCTATATTAGATACTGTATTACCATTCTGTTTTAAACATTTAGATAGTGATGAGTATGTATATAAAAACTGAAAAAATAATATATCTATTTAAATAAATTGTTTCTCCATGTAATTTTGATAGATATAATTAAAACTTCTTTATTTCTTTTCAGTTCTCGCTTACAAGTTGAAGTAATGTCTCTATTAGCTGCTTTAATTAAAATTACACCTTTAAAAATGCAGTATATTGTAAAACACGAAGCAATACAAAAATTAGTGAAACTATTTCAGTCTACATCGTTTGTTATTATGGAACATGCAATTTTTATTACAACAAAAATAATCAAAGATTGTCCGTACGCACGTGATCTTGCTCTTCAAAATAACGCTTTACCTATTTTGATCAATTTAATAAAACCTGGTACATATGTAAGTAACTGTATTGAACTATGTTCATTAATTATATTTTTTTAATATTTTATATTGTCATTATTATCTTTTAAAAACAATATTTTTGTTGATTTGTGCGTCTAGGAAATTTATAAATAAATTAAATCCGCATACCCCGAATAACAATAAGTGTAATAAATAATTGCTAACTTCCTAATCGACTAATTTTAAAAAAAAAAATTACATTTATGTATAATTGATTTGGATAATATAATAGTAATGCATAGATTTTATAATATTATATTAATCTCACTATTGTGCGAATTGAGTACCAAGATAATCAAGCTGTGTCAATATTGGTTTAAAACGTTTAAATATTAGTAATTTTCACATTATATATACTTAATAATAAATTTATAATTCATTAAAAAAATTTAACATAAATAGTTGGAAAGAGAAAATAATTACATCACACGTAAAAGAAACATAGCTGGCATTGACAAAGTGGGCTTTTTAATAGTTTAAAGTAAATAATAACCGTTGATTAGTATATTAAATTATATATGAAAACAACATGTAATCATTGTATATTAAAGAACTGTTTATTCCAATGTTATTGTAATAAATAATGATGGTAAATTATACAGAATACACCCATCATCTCCGATTTCGATAAAATTAGGCTTATTCGACGAATAAGCCTAATTTTATCGAAATCGGAGGTGATGGGTGTATTCTGTATAATTACCATAATGATTATTTTGACAATAATTATCTCAGATCTACTACTAGATCGAGAGAAATATTATTTATTCTATAAATTTGAATATATATTTTTGATAATATAAATCTCTTTCTTTTTCTTCATTTCCTAATCTTCCAGTTTATATGATATTTTATCAGATGGAGATCATAGTTCTTTTTTATTTATTAGATCAGAATGTGAAATGTCACAAATATGAAATATTTCATCAAATATATTCTCTTTTTGTTAGCGTTTGAATTAGCTTTTGTCTTATGTTTTTAAGAAGATACTCTGAAATATGAAACAATGATAATTATGTTCGTAACCGTTTATAGCAGAAAAGCTAGCAAAATCAACTCAGCTTTTAAGTTATGTGTAATTTTTAAGTTACGTTTGTTTTAATAAATAGATAATATTTTATTTTGCTTGGTAAAATAATGCAGGTAAGATACGGCATTGTATGGACTATATGTTATTTATGTAACAAATTGGTTTCAACTATACCTTTGGAAGTGATTAATTGTTTGCTACCAATACTTGATCTCCAGCTTAATATTGAAAATCAAGACATATGTTGTAAGATATTTACGTTTTTATCTGATATACTATATTATATTATATAATTATTCAAAATTTGAGATAATTTGTGTTGCTTTTCGTTTCCAGCTTATGCTTGCAAGATACTTTATGAACTTACTCTGACTAACGATAATACACAAGCCGTATTGAAAAGTGGCATTCTGCCGAAAATTGTAGAATGTCTAAAATCGCAGGAGAAACGTATCTATATTTCAGCGTTGTTCATAGTTATAAATATAGTAAAAACAGTTGAGATTACTGAATCGGTTGCTTTCATTTTAACGGTATATTTGCCGGATTTTTGTGCTTTGTTGCAAAACTATCCTGCCAATTATTTTATTGTTAAGGTTATTCTTTCGATAATGCTTAAAATAATAAATAACACGGACCAAATCCAAAATGTGTTACATGCTGGTCTATTACCAATATTGAAAAATATACTTGAATTCGTAAGTATTGTGTGTTCTCTCATGCAAACATGAATAGATCAGCCAAAGTCTGCTTTAAATATTTTAATTGCTCAACGAGAAAAGACTCGATATCGGTATGAAATCGAAGTGATGATTTTGATGACGTTTATTTGAAATTAAACTGACAATTATTTCTCAATAGGAAAGGATTTCATATATGAATAGCACACACACACACACACACACACACACACACACACACACACACACACACGCACACGCACACGCACACACATATACACACACATTCATATTTATATAGCACAAAGAATACCATAAAATTTTTATATAGATTTTTTTTGTACGTCACATAATTTCGAAGATATTTGTTGAAAATTATAAAATGGAATTTATTTTTTCGAGGATGTGTTTGAACCTTTAAACCTTCAGATAAGCTCACATAAAAAATATAAGTTTAACATTTTTTTGTTCTAAGTATATAACATTTTCAAAGACCATTAAAATCGATAAGGGATGAATTCAACGCTACTCTTGTGAATTGAAAAGTTCTGTATTATTTTGTAATTTCCTCATATTAATTAACGGATATTTTCTAAAAATCACCGGGTAAGCGTATCCGTCCATTCATATTGCCAAGTACACGGCTGCACGTCCAACGATCGTAATCGCTGTATACGTGGGAATTACTAATTATAAGTAACGTGTTCCGCCCTAGCACCATGCGATGAAAGAAAATCAAATTAATAAGTGACCACGACCTATGAACGTGCATTTGGCGATATGACCGGGAGAATCAGGAGACGCGGTAGTGTCTCCGGCCATCTCCGATTCAAAAACTGAAAGACATACTGCAAGTCTCTTATCCCGAGCCACCAAAGTCCATTTTTGAGGGGTGCATAACTATTAAAATATAAAAAATTTTGAATTGAACGTTATATGTCCTGAAAGGCGGCATCGCCACAAGTAATTTGAGCCAAAAAAAATTTAAAATTGGTCAAGCCGTTCTGGAGACACAAGCGGTCGAAAAGTGGTGATTTTAATGAAAAATTAAGAAACGTCTCCTTCTTCTTCTTCTCCTTCTTCTCTGTCCGCATTCAAGGCCGTATTAAAACTTTCTAATATCCCCTCTCTCACTTTTCCCTCACACCTTCACCATCTTCGACCGACCGCAACCCCTCACCCCTCCCACGACCCACCCCCACCATCCCTCTCTTTCGTTATAAAAAATATTTTTAAATCATTTTTTTATATATTTGTAATATATCAGTTACTTTTCATGGTAATATATTATTATTAGATAAAAAAGTTTAAATTTTTGAGTATCCTTTTTTGAACATACGAGCTTATTTGGCGATTTTTAGAAATACGTATCTCGTTAACTTTCGAAAATTGCAAAATAGTACAGATTTTTTCAACACAGTTTAATTTGCTTTACTTGCTCACGAGCCGTGCGAGAGTAGGCAGAATTATATCAAATACCCAAAAGTATGAGTATATTGACAATGAGTCCCTAGAATATTTAGAAATATTTTCATACGTATGCAGATCGAGCGGATTAAACTTGGTCGAAAAATCTTCTCCAACTTTTCAATTTTTGCAATAACACATTATTAATTATAAAATTATATATTTATAGGTACATGCGTATTTGTTTATAGGAAAACAAAGAGATAAAGATGCTGTCTGGACTGGTTTTAATGAATATGCTATCGAGCGGAACAAGTCAACAGTTGACCGAATTACTAAATGCTGGTGTATTGATAGAATTTTGTAATTTATTGAAAACGGAGGATTATGACATCGTCATTAATGCCTTAAAAGGTTTTAGTAAAATTTTGCATAATGCAAAGGAAAAGGGACAAATAGAAAGATTTGCCACTATGATCGAAGAAGCTGGAGGATTAAATAGACTGGTAGCTCTTCGATGTCATCAAAATGAGATGATTTACAAAAAGTCTACATCTATAATTCACTTATACTACTTTTTGATAAACTAAAAGATACTTCGGAAAAAGTCTTATTCTTGTACATAGTTGGAAAAAATGTGTCAAATTTAACATAAACCGCATGTCACAAACGATCCACTCAAATTTTTGGGTTAATTTATCACAAGATGAACATGTTAGAAGATTACACAAATATTATGTAAGAAAATAAATACAAAAAAAGATAATATCGATACAGTTAGCAAACAAATCGTAAGAAGCATATTTTTGAAAATTGTCAATAAAATACACATTTATTTATTATAAATATAATATTTAATGTTAATATTAATGTAATAAGAAGATAATCACATGTATACGGTCATTACTAAAAAGTTGCAATACTTTTTTTTCGATGGATTTCGAAATTTAGTCTTGCTCGTAAAGCGGTTGATCCTAAATGATTAGATACACAAGTAAGACCGAATTACTCGGTGAGCAGGCTATATTCCTATACTTATTGGAAATAAGTGTTGCAATTTTCTAGTTGATAACTGTACAGATAAACGTTACAAACACATTACGTATTTTACGCATATTAGAAATAAATAGAGGCGATATTCCGATATGTACATTGCCAGTATTGAAAATGTACAGGGCACATTACGTATACTATAGATTTTCAGTGCTGACAGTGTATATTAAAACACAGCTAGAATTATTAAAGTAAAATCAGAGTATAGACGGCATAATATATATATATATATATACACACACATATATTTATATAGATAATCAAAGAACTATAAACAAATTTTTTATAATATTTTTTGAAAATCAAACCAGAGTAAATGCTTTTTTTCATGGATTTTGGATTAAAATTCGTAAAGCTATTTAGCTTCATCGCGTCTAGTTTTTAGAGAACTAATTTAAATTTATTTTGATAAATTAAATAAAATGCAAGAAACAAAAATTTTGTTGCAACTATTAGCATCTCAACCGTTAAGACTCAAGCGATAGTGAAAGAAGTCATAGGCGTTATCTCAGAAATTAGACCAAAAGTTGCATTTCATGCCAAGCACTGTTCTATTGTAAGCGTTAGTAGTAACTAGGGTCTTAATAACATCTTAAAAAAAGTATTATAAAGTAACAAAATATTCTTTATTAAAAATAACTGTAAAAATAGTCCTCACCGCGCGCAGTCCAAATGCCGCACGACGCTCGAGCGACATTTGATCTGCACGCGGGGCGGTGAGATGAGGGGTACAGCGGAAGGCGGAGGCAATTCGAAAATCAGCCGAAAGTTACATACACTTTATGTATGTTTACTTTGTATTAGCACCTTTAATTAATAATATATCAGTTACTTTTCATGGTAATATATTATTATTAGATAAGAAGGTTTAAATTTTGTGAGTATCCTTTTTTGAACATGTCTTGAACTTTTCATTTTTATGATACGATTTTTTTCGTAAATTAATGTTATAAGCAATTGTAATAACTTTAAATATTATTTCTTCTAAACAGTTAAGTTTTTACACTTACAAACCGTCTATTAAAACAAAAGTAAAACTCATGTAAGCGTTACGCGTTTCCGCTATATTTCATAGAAATTACTGTTCTTTGACCTCAGAAAACTTTAGGGGGGAGAGAGAGAGAGTGAGAGAGAGAGTGTGAAAGAGAGAGAGAGAGAGAGATTAATATCAAAACAGACATAAGGTATTCGCGTCTAAAATAGAGGTTACTCTATATCACTTGATAATACCAGAAGGATGATGAAGTAAATATTCGATTATCTCAGTTAACTAATATCTTCGGGATCCAGAATCATCGACAAACCCATTATGCTCACGCATAGCTCGGGGCACTCTCGTGTTCGTTATAGACATTATTAATCAATTATAGTTTTGTCTTTTATTCGATTACTGTTTTCACCGATAATTATAAGAGACAACATTTTCCATTTCTTTTACATTTTTGACAATAGTAACGGATTACTTGAATTCCGTGAAAAAAAAGAAAGAGTAATACGGGCAAACATCGCAGAAACTACAATTTGATCAGGTAATTATTGCATTTGTTAATTAGTAAAGGAAGCTTGAATGAAATGTATTTATTTATAATATACAGCCCACAAATTTCATGTTTATTCATTTGTTAGAAATATCTGTAGGTTTTCGCATAACTTGCTCGAAAATGCTCTAACATGCTGCTATTATAGCTTCTATTTGTTTCAAAACGAGCACTAAATTGAAGAGGGGCTATGACAGGAGTAAGTTGAAGCATGTTGAAGCATGTGACGTGAATCAAATTTATATAAAATGATATTCAATATTTTGCATGTAACCGTTATACATGATTGATTTTGCAGTTAGCAACATTTTTACCCAATCATATCTTTACACTATAAAGATATGACACTATAAAGATATAATACTAAGATAAGATAGAACACTATAAAGTTTATAATGGCATTACAGAATTATAAGAAACTCGCATTTTCTTCACATAAACAAACGTAAATTTTAAAGAATTAGCTATGGATACATTTCATTGTTGGTAGAGTTGATTATAAAGTTTATTCTTATTACTGTAGACATTCGAATTGATTATTATCGTTGACAGAATATTCCAAATAATCGTCAAAATCTTTTAACATGATCGTACCGGCATCAATATTATAATAATGCTCGATAATTTAATTTATAATATCAGTGTCCTAGTTCAGTACATGATTGTGTCCTAAACTGAAAATTACTTCCGCACGCACAATATTACGAACATAATTCATATAATTTCAAATCAACAACAAACGTATGTATGTTTGTCGATAATGTGACGTCATTTGTATTATTAATTTTACTTCAACTGATTAGCTACACTGAAGATAACCTAATGTAGACTGAATAGTTCGATATTTAAATTCAATTTATTAGAATTTAATATTAGCAATTTCTAGCGTTGATTGATCGTGATATTGAAATCTGTTTTTAAATTATTGATTTCAATTGTACTGACTTTGTCAAATTAAGTTATTATTTAAATATTAAATATTAGTTGTATGTTTAAATAAAGATTTTTATAATTAAATTATGTATTCACATTACGCGGCCTGCAAGACACTTTATATAGTCTTCATTTAATGTTTACATAAAATAAATTTACAGTATACCATCGTAACAATGTCTGCTCAAGGAAACCTCGATTATAGCAACGAATCAAATTTTGACGTTACAGATGTAAGTGTTAATTAAAATATTTTGTGGTTTATAGGATTTGCATGAAAATTTGTAGCAGCTAAAATTTTTATTTTTCTTATACATTTTTATATTTTTAATAATAACTATTATATGTGATTACATTGCACGCTTTTTAACAGTCTGTATATTTTTTATTAGTAACTTAACATCGATCGTTATAAGTATATAAAATATGTATTACTTATTTTATATACCATATGTATGCATATTTTTAGGAGCTAATACGAAAAAGAAAGAAGGCAGTGGAGCTATGTAAATCCATAAGAGAAGATCGATTGTTCAGACGCAATGTGCAGCTCGAAATCATAGATCTAATGAACGAAACTTTTATTTCACCCCCTTCTATAGACGAAATTGTAAATTACATAAATTCGTCAGAAGAAAAGTTCCCAGCAACGCGCGTATTAATATTACAGGCAATTCAGTCTTACGAAACATTAAGCGAGGAAAGAAATTCTGTTAATGATATGATAAAAGGTGGCATCGTATCACGCTATATTGAGCTTTTAGAAAGTGACAAGTATGTGTTTACATAAATACAAATAAGGGATTTTTCAAATAAAGTCAATTGTTTCTTTATTACAGTACATTAAGTTTTCTGCAACATATATAAGTATATAGAGATATATATAGGGCATTCCACGCCAAGTGGGCCACTCATTTTGCGAAGTTTCATGGATTTCGTTCATATTGCTTGAACTTGAACAGTTTGATGAATAAAGACTCTATGCCGAATAATATACCTATAGGCCAACTGGTTGCCGAACTATAGAGCCGTCAATTTTTGGGCTTTCTCGTTGCAGCGCTCTTTTCGCTTGTCATTAGTGGGCATGAGAGGCAAGTTTGAAAATGAAATGTAGAAGTTACTTTACATAAAATTGAACGCTCTTTCACGTAAGAATACTTTTTTTTCGATCAGACCGGTTTACGACAATGTTTGTCAGTTTTGAAGTTTTCAAAATGGCGGCGCGCATAAAAGGCCAGTCTCAATTTTCTTTTAATATAGCTCAAAATGTAGCTCCAGGTCTCTACTTTGTTACTCTAAAAGGACTTAATGGGACACGCATTCGTTTGAGAGTAAGAGTTAGGAAAGTGAGGAAAATGAGTGGTGCGGCAGGGGGACGGAGCGACATTGCCTCACTTTCCTAACTCTTAAGGCCTCCCTACACGGTTAATAATACTGAGTCAGTATTACTGATCAGTATTACTGACAGTATACATTAGTTTTTTATAATCTTATACGATCAGGTATTATTGATAATATTTCACTTCAGTTTGACGTGATTTGACGTATATTATTATCTATGGCGACAGGGATCTTAAGGAAAAAGCATGTATTTAAGTCCAAATCATCGTCAGTATTCTACGTTAATCTATTAATATTAACCACACACAATCAATAATATTGTTAATATTCGTTGATACTGACAGTATTACTGACCGTGTACAGAGGCCTTTACTCCTAAACGAATGCGTGTCCCATTAAGTCCTTTTAGAGTAACAAAGTAGAGACCTGGAGCTACATTTTGAGCTGTATTAAAAGAAAATTGACACTGGCCTTTTAGGCCACCATTTTGAAAACTTCAAAATTGACAAACATCGTCTTAAACCGGTCTGATCGAAAAAAGAGTATTCTTACGTGAAAGAGCGTTCAACTTTCTATAAGGTAACTTCTACATTTCATTTTCAAACTTGCCTCTCATGCCCACTAATGACAAGCGAAAAGAGCGCTGCGACGAGAAAGCCCAAAAATTGGGTGGCCCACTTGGCATGGAATGCCCCATATATATATATATGTATATATGCATACGT